TAGTTGACATTTTATGGCAATAGTACTGGAAGGTTATAACAAAAGTCTCAGTAACCAAAAGTTGTGGTATAATGTTCTATTCTAATTGTCTTATATATGTAAATATATACGGTAGATGTCTATTTGGCAAACAATGGCTATAGCTGATGAATGTGGTAGTTAGCAAATTAAGGGTTTCTTCTTCTCTTTCTCCTTCTCCTTCTCCTCCTTCTGAATGTAGGGCACACTACATTCATTTGGGAGATATATATATATATATATATTTATGAGTTATAGATTCTTCTATTTAACAGTTACAATGCCCTTCAAGATTAATCCACCTCATTTCTACAGCTACAAATCAATAATATTATAATGACTAGGTATTTATTCCTAATCCATTTGCCCTGGAAAACTGACAGCAAAAAAGTATAACCTTTCTAGATATGATTTATTTATCTGAATAACTTAATTGAAATTTTCATCTGTGTAATAATAGTTCTGATAAATTAATTTAGGATGCTCTTTTAAACTGGTTAAAGAGGGAAGCATGACCAGTTCACGATCCCCAAGGATACACCAGTTGGCACAGTTCAGAATGATTCCTTTCTATGCAGCAATGCACCAAAATAATGGGTGCAAAATGTAAATTATTCTGGAAACAAGGCTTAGAAGAATGAATACCTTTTCAGAGCAGAACTCTAAAAATGCCACTGGATTTCCCAAAATAACATTGAGTTCCCATTTCCTGTTTTTTTAAAAATCTTTTGCAAATTTTTTTTTTTTGAATCTGGAGAACAGAAGAAATGGTTATGTATTATTCACTTAATTGCCAGATAATAAAGTAGATAATTTGCAGTGCAATAATTCTCAGCAAAGTGCTCATATAACTTTTTTTTGTCAAAAGCATTGTATGATGGGTCATATATAGCCTTTGAGATAATGTTGACTCTGTTAATTGTCTGGATTAGCCCCTTCGGTTTTCTTGGCAAAATTTTCAGAAGTAGATTGCTATTGCCTTCTTCTTAGCTCTGAGAGAGATTCAATGGCCCAAAATCATCAGTTAATTTTTTACCTGAGGTAGACTACAGTAGTACTCACAGTCTCCTGGTTTCCATCTTGATGCCTTAAATCAGTGTTTTCCAAACTTGACAATTTTAAGGCATGTGGACTTCAACTCCCAGAATTCCACAGCCAGCGTTGCTGGCTGTGGAATTCTGGGAGTTGAAGTCCTCATGCCTTAAAATTGTCAAGTTTGGGAAACACTGCCTTAAATCATTATATCAAACTGGCTATCAGAGAGGGAAACAGTCCTTCCACCCTTGCTGATTATCCTCTTCTCTTTACTTCTGTGTTTCCCAGACTTCTCCAGAGAGATAGATCTTCGCATTATGTGCCCAAATTATGACATTTTGACCCTGATCATTTGTGTTTCTAGTCAAACTTTTGGGTTGAATTGTTCAACGATTTATTTGTTTGTTTTCTTGGCTATTCTTGAGGTATTTTCAAGTCATCTCTAACACCAAGGCTCAAAAGTATCAGTGCTGTTTCTATCCTGCTACTTCAAAGTCAACTTTACCTCCCTCAGAATGTCATAAAGAAGACTATAGTCGGCATTATTCTGATCTTTGTAGATATAGACATAACATGGCATCTGAGGCATTCAGTAAGTGTGTGTGTGTGTGTGTGTTTGTATGTGTATACCTTTTGAGTAACCACTGTGCATGCCTGAAGTAAATTGCAGAGTGGAAAGAAGATGAAATATTAAAAAGTGAACATTGAAAATAAGTTATCTAAGACTGAAGGCACAAAATGATACCAACATACTAAATGATGCTAATCTACACTCTTTCACAAGAGAATTGAGAATACAGAGGTGGTGTTTTAAATGTATGTTGTTAAAATGATATTTTAGCACATTCATGAATAACACTTCAAGCCAGATTCCTTGAAGTAACAAAATTAGTGCTGTGCAACCTATTGTTATGAAAGATAAACACATAGCTTTGTAGCTGCAATAGAAAGGCTACAAGCAGGCATCAGCTGCTAATACTAATACCCAAAGTTACTGTCCTTAAAATATTCAAAACCTAGCAACATTGTTAGTTTTCAGCTGCCACTATCCCAGATGGGCCTTAAAAATGAATCTTTAATATATTTCTGTCAGGCATGGTTAGGTGGTCTTGAATTCCTAATTCCAAAACATCTGTTTGCTAGCAGTGTTAGCTTTTCATGTGTTTTAGCATGAACAGGAATAAAGCATTTAAAATAGTAGTTACACAAATATGTTTTTATTTATACTACAAATATGTTAAGACGTAAACATCGGATTGAGTTTTGTAATCACTACTGCAGGCAAATGTAGAAGCAATATTTCAGAAATAGGTATGCAGTAGGCTTATGGGTGAGGTTTATTACTTTATGATAATAAAGACATAATAAATAATTTTAAGTACTGTAATAATAAATAATTGCTTTTAAATTATACGAGTAGTTAGAGGCTGGTTTTGGAAAGCTAAATCAAAAATGATGAGGCAATTCTGCCTGGGTGTATTTTATTAATAGAAATGAAGACAGTGAAGATTTTTGTGACACCTTAAAGAAAAATGTATTTGGAAGTTTAAACATAATAAGTTTTGGCTTTCTTTACTGATTGGTCTGTGTTGTGGTGAAGATTAAAACACTGGCCAAAGGGATTCTGAATATGGTCTTGGTGCAAATAACTAAAAATCTAAGAACACTGTATACACTGCATATAACATAGGTGTTTTCTGTTTGAAGAAGGAAATGTCAAAAGAAAGAGAATTTCCATTCAAACAATTGAACTTGCTTAAAATAGTGTGTTAGAACTTGACTCTATAAAATAGTTATAATTCAAAACTATTTTATTATTGGAATATTGATATATAAAATATCCTTTATTAGAATAGAATTAATTTATTCTAAACAACCAACCTATATTTCAGTACTTTAAATGGATAAACTTGCAACACTTTGCTTTTAATTCTGTGAATTCAGCATAATGGATCTAATTTCATATTTCTACTCATATTTCTATGTACATTTTTATAAATCATTTTAGATGGATACCAAATTTTAGTTAAGCGATAAAAGGGATGTGGAAATATATATTAAATGCAAACAACGGGTTTATGCTCACAGAGGAGTTAACCTGTCAAACATGGATTTGCACAATCGGCTCTAAACCTTTTTCTCTGAATAATTGTATTCCAGCTGATTAGATCCTAGTCTTCAATAACGCACAGTTAACCTTGAGCCTTGGATGAATAATTAACCAGGTAGAAAATAAAGAATGTGAAGGCATCTTACTGGCAGAAAAGATCAGCTGACCTCTGTAAGCAAGGATGTCTTGTTCGAGTGAACTTCAGCCAGTTTAAATATTTGTTCAAATTCCGTAATGCAGTGTATGTGTGTGCCTGTGTATACATGGACGCGGGTGTGGATGTATTTTTCTGTAAAGCAGTAGAAGCTAGTGTTCTGTTCCTCACACGTCAAGTATGGTAGCAAAATAAACTCATTCAATTAAACATAAATATAGCAACGGTGACAACTTGGTGTACATAGCAACTTTCCAGTTATCTCGGATAACGTGAAAGTACTAATCATGCTACAGGTAGTGATATAGAATTGTGACAAGATTGTAAGTAAACAAAGAAAATGTGATTGTGAAGTGGAAGTGCAACAATTTTTAAAGAATTGAGTGGTGGCAGACCTTCTGTAAGATTTCAGGATGATCCTAACAGCAGAGAGTATCTGTAGCTCAGGGTTGAACTATACGAGTTCTTGATGCTTTCTGAAATTGGTTGTTTGATTGTAGATATTTCATTACCCAATTAGTTAATATCATCAGTGCTTGAAATGTCTTCAAGGAAACAACCAAGCTCAGTGGACAGCAAACATTCCACACTGCAGAACAATGCAATAACCTACCAGCCTTATTATGTTATTTACTGTATGCAACAATTAGGAAAATGAGTCCAAATCCAAGATGGCCCCTCTTTGCAGGGGGTTAGACAAAAAATTGGTTTTAAATACAACCCTGGGCTCTTCCCTGTTCTTCTGCCTTGTCATTTGCAGTTTGTTACCTACACTAAAATCAGTTTGAAACTTACTCTTCCCAGTAAGCATGTGCAAGTATTGTGAATTTAACTGAATGGTGTGCAGGTTTTCCTTTCTTTTTTAAAGAGCCTTGGAACTGTGGTTGTCATTGTTCATTTAAATCTGCTTTATGAAGTCCAGCAGTGAAGTCTGTCCAACAATAAAGTCCAGTGGAGAGTCCTATGTTCCCACAGTGCCTTGGCACTTCCATTGGTCCTGATCCAATTAATTTTGAAAGTTAATCACCTCAACTGCTGCTCTTGAAAAAACACAGCAAAAATAGAGCATTTTGCAATGTTCCTGCTGGAACTGTGGAAGAGGTGGTTGCCTTTTGTGATATTGCCCTCCTTCTTTCTCCAGAAGTCAACTCAACAATCCTTGGTGCTGTTCCTGCCCTCCCATCAGTCTCTTCTATCCCACAGAATGATGCCCTTTGCCTTTTTTTTTTTTTTTTTTTTTTGCTACTGAACCATTCAGCACTCCAAGTCTTGCCATTATTTACTGACCAATCATAGACTAGGGAGGATTCCCTGAAGCCATAGGATGAGGACACCTGCTGCACTGTGCAGCAAATGCAACTCCAAAGATTTAGGAGAAACAAATGTTAATAATTTAATCTTTCAGAAACAAAAGCAGTGTTTTTGAAAGCGAGTATAGAAATATACATTGCTTATTTTTCTTAAATATCAGAAGTGTGAACATAAATGGATTCTTATTATAGATTGAAATAAATAGTATATCTGTAATACATTCAGGAAACTACTGGTATCTCTCAGCTTATTGCAAAAAACATGCTTGTAGAAAGCAGAAGCCATTCAAGTGTAATAAGATTTTTGTAAAATGTTATTTTATGTTATTTGTGCTTACTTTGGTATTGAATTAGATTTTGAATTTCCTTTCAGCCACAACCACCAAATTACCACATTTAAACATCCAGTGACTGGCCAGGTTTCCCCAGAAAACTTGGAGTTCATTTTACAAGAGGAGTAAGTAGATTGATTTGCCTTATACATCTAATAACTATTCTTAACCTCTAATTAGTAGTTGAAGTTCTACAAGCTTATGCTATAACTGCCTATTAGTGTCTACTGTTGTTTCATTCCAATTGCTTATGAATGAATGATGGAACAATTTTTTCCTATTGTATGCTCTTTCATCCCAGGCTCCAAAAATAAAAACGCTTTCCTCCGTTAAAAAACTGAGGCTGAATTACATTTTTTATTGTGACAAGTGGAAAATTATTAGATACATATGAATAATAATACATATATCATTTAATTTATTGAATGACAATGAAATTCTAGCCCTTTTCAGTTCTTTGTCTTGGCAATCTTCCCACTGCATTTCTCACAATGCTGTTCAAGGTAAACCCCTCAGCCTGAAAAGAGTTGTATACCCCTTTTCAAAAAGTGCACAAGTTAGCAAGGAAAAAAAAGAAAGTCTTCAGAATATTGATTTGTGCTAAAACAAAGATAGAAGCAAAGAAAATGCAACTCTTTACGTAAAACATTAAAATATTTTCCTCAGATACACACATAAGAAAACAGATGTTATATAGCAAAAGATGTTATAACACTTATTAAGTGTACCAGACCGTCAGTTCAAAAATGCTGTGAACATAATAATATTTCATCCTTATTTCAGTATTGTTCATGTACATTATTATATTTGGGATATTTTAAAAGGATTTATACCTTTAATCAGATGCTTTATACATGTGGAAAAATAAATTTTGCATTTAAAAAAACCCCATATTCTTAAAATATACAATCAGTTAAATTATTGAGTCCTGAAAAAAACATTAAATTGAAGATAGATGGCAGTTAATCTTCTCTTGTCTTGAGTGAAACCATGAAATTCATTGTTATGGTTTCACTCGCTGCTTTCTCCTGATAGTTTGGTCTTTTATAAGAGAAATAATGAACAATGACCCAATAATTGTTTTAGTTGTCTGTTTTTATGTATTCCTTGATTAAATATCAGTGACAACAATGGAAACATTCTGGACATTATGTTTGTCAGACCTTTTATTTGTCTGTGTTAAGCTAGATAAGACTGGTCAGATTTCAGGGCAGCAATATTTTATGACTTCATTTAGCCATAATCTTCAACAGAAAATTCTGTCATGTTGCTAATTTAAGTCTCATCTTTTCTTTTGCAACCTGTGCTGTTGCTTGAAGATTTAAAATGCAAGTCTTCATACGATCAAATTCATTTTTTCTACCACAATCAATAAGAAATCAGATGGTTGTTAAACAAATCACGTGGTCGTTAAGTGACTCATACAGTATGGTTGTTAAATAAATCCAGCTTCTCCAATTGATTTTGCTTGTGAGAAATCATCTGGGGAGGTCACAAATCATGATCACATGACTATGCAAAATGCTGTAACCATTGTAAATGCAAGCCACTTACCAAGTGTCCTAATTGCAACCACATGACCGTGCAGGTGGTATGATGGTTGTAACTTCGAGGATGGATCATAGATCACTTTTTACAAGACCATCACAGCTTTAAACCATTGTTCAACAAATAGTTGTAAGTTGAGGACTGTATTTATTGTGCTAATTCTATAAAAAACTTTTAGAAAGGAAATTGGAGAATGCAGACTTCATTTTAAATTTAGATTTTGATGGGAAAGTTGCAGTCTTTGCTTCTATGGCAGGCCTAATCTGGATTACATTCCCAAGACTATATACTTTCCTTTTTCAAAGCCAATTAAGCAATTACACAGCATCACCTGATTAGCTTTTGGGGAACTTGGACGGGACTAATTAGGATGTAAATATTAAGAGAATTAAAAGACTTCCAGAGGATTCCAGGTCTGTAAGATAAGGTTAAAAAAAAACCTTGCATAATAGCCAGCCACTGTATCGCTGCTAAAAAAGCTACATGGTCTGTAACCCATCAGGAGTAAAATTTGATTTGAAGGTTTTACCTTTTTTAATGATATGAATGATTTTTTATCTGGCTTAAGCTATTTACTGAACTGGTGAGCTAGAAACAAGGGAAAGTTTGCAGCATTACTTTATCCTAGTTCCACTGTTTTAAAAAAAAAGACTAAAAATGAATTAAATTGTGATTTCTTACTTTTAGGCATAATTCACATATGTCCAAACATCAGATAAACCAAAGACCTTCAAGTATGGTCAGTGAAACATCTACTGCAGTAACTACATCCACTACAGATACAAAACTTGGATCCAAGGTAAATTTGAGTTTTTAATTAAATTTGAAAAATTAAGCATATTAAGAGAATGAACTGTATTGGGGGACATTGTGCCAATATTAAATCCATAGAAGAAATTCATGGATGCATTTAGATTTGAATTAGACATATCCCTCTTACCTATTTTCTGTGTTCTTAAAGATGTGTAGGGGGTTGATCCTAAGTGTGCATTGCTGTTGTGCTCTTGTGCTAAGCATTTGTTTAAAATATAGTTTGGTGCTTGGACTTAACAGTTTATTTGCTGAACATTGTAATTGTATGAAAAAAATCTAAATCATTAGTCTTAAAGGCATCTCTTATGTGGTGGGAAGCTTAATGTAAACACTTCTAGGAAAACACTGTTTTATACCCCAGAGAGTAAATATTTTAATGAAAATGGTTAATACAAAAATAAGAATAACTTACTTATTATGCAAGACAAACAGATGTAGAAAAATAGTAAACTGAATATTTTTATATTTTATTCTTACAAACCCAACTATAAATCCCAAAATAACTTGAAAATGCTCCCAAGAAAATTCTACTATAGTATCAAATAGCCAATTATGGCACTTTTGTATTTAGCTTGTTCTTTTTCATTGATGAATGAAAGTTTATATCAGGACTTTGTCAAGTGCAGGAGATCAGGAGAAAAAGCAGTTCAAATCAATACAGATTTATTGAATGTTAAGACTCCCTGCACTGATTTGAACTACTAAAGATCAAAGCAGATTGGTGGTAAATAAAAATCAACAAGTTCAAAGTAACTTGGACTTAGATCTTTTCTGGTACAAAGGGATTTGAGACTGATCACATGCTTGATCCCTCCCTCAAGCTCAGTCTGGTCATCTACAGCTTTTGTATCCCAAAGTGCCTTTGTTCTAATCTTACTGAAGCATTATTCTGTAGGTTCACGTGAATATTAAAACAGAAAACTAGCAGAGACCTAAGTATAAATAAATATGTGCAGATTCACTTAACCGTATTACTAACTTAACAACTAACTTAACAACTGCAGTGATGTTGTTGACACACAGCTATGTCAAGAAAGGTCATAAAACAGGGCAAAATCCCTTTAGCTGTCTTGCTCAGGAATGGAAAATTTGGGATGAATTGAAATTGTAAGTCAAGGACTAGCTGTACAGCAGTTTTCTCTTTACTACCTCCCAGTTTGCAGAGATCAAGCAATAGGATTTGAAGGACTGAAAAGTTGTGAATTTGTAATTCAATAGTTCATTATTATGATGTTGTCAAATGTTTGCTTCTGCTGATTATTTTGTTAATAGTTAGTCAACTATTAGTGTAAATTACACAATCAATAGCAGAATATAAATTCTTGTATTATTCCACTGTTTCTTTGGAGTTAATCCTAAATATAGTTTGTACTTGTTTATCTTATATATGCTTTTTTTTTAGTTAGGAAAATCTAGCAATAAGGTTCATAGCTTTGGGAAAAGGGATCAAGCTATAAAGAGAAACCCTAATATTCCTGTTGTGGTCAGAGGCTGGCTTCACAAACAAGTGAGTATTATATATATATTTTAAAAAAGTTGCTTTGATTTACAAAGAAAAGGGGATAAAAGAAGAAATTAACTAACCAAGAAAAGATAAAAAAGGAAATGAGAAAAGTGTATTATAATAACTATGAGGAAAATCATTCAACCCATTTTTAAACACATCATTAAACTTTAATCACACTGAATCTTTCTGATCAATCTTTCTATTACACCAGTAGAGTCAGTTCACACACATCATCAATCCAAAACTGTAAATCTGGGGTCATGCTGAAGGGTACCCTTTTTTTTATTACATCCCATGTTGGTAAACCCAAAATTCTTCATAGTGATAAATTCCACTTTGGGGATGTACTATATAATTAAGAAGTATTTTCCTGCTGTTAAATCATGCTGATATTCATAATGATAGATTAACAAATTTACGGGTTTGAAGTTACAGTAGAACAAAAGTGGGACAAAGCATATCATACGGGGGTCTTCTCCATGTCTACTACATGTGCATTAATCATTTCTAACAAGATACCTGCTCTTCCAGTATGCTAACTTCTTTATGCTAATTTCTAACTTTACCTACCTTCTAGAAGAGCTGTAAAATATTCAGAAGTAGGCTTGATTATGATATGCTATGATAGCTGGCTCTTTTTTTAGCACATTTTCATATATTAAAGAGACACATAGTCATTCCAAATTTTATTTAGTATATTTTTGTGTTATTTTACTGTAAGTTTTTACCAGATACATATTGTCATTTGTGTTTCAGGATAGCTCTGGGATGAGATTATGGAAAAGAAGGTGGTTTGTGCTGGCAGATTACTGTTTATTTTATTACAAAGGTTAGTGAATATAAATCTTTGTTTAAAAATATTTCTGCAACTGAGAACTAACTGCATATTGTGTCTGTTGCTTAAAATAAAAATAATAATTGTCTCTGGACAATATGGAAATCAGCTTTTTATTTCCCACTTATCATATTTACCATATATGAATAGGAAGCTTTCCCCCCAATTTTTACCAGTTATTTTAGAATGCTATGCTGCATTCCTTAAGAATAAAAGACAGCTATTAAAAATAGTAGAGATGCAAATGAGTACAGCTATTATTAAAGTAAGCCTGAAGAATGGCTTGAGAAGAATTCCTTATCTAACGGATTTAACTTTTTGTAAAGTACAAACAGGGCTTCTTTCCTTAGTTTTTCCTTCCCTGCTCAGCCCCTTCTCCTTTTCCTCATCCATTGCTTAATCCACATCCATTTTCCCCTCTTTATTCTTCCTGCAGAAACAACAGAAATTAGGTGCATTATTTTATTATTCTTTTGTGAGAGTGGTTTGAAAGAGAAAGGTTAGTATATTCAGATGTGGATTCATTAATGTACAACATATTTCTTAGGCAATTCATTTTATTTTAGTTATTAATTTATTTAATACTGGTTTTATTCTAGCCTTTCCCTTTTTTATACTGAGATTTTTTAACAATTATAGATACATGCTTACTGGTGTGTCATATACTCACATTTGTTGGCAGAAGGAATCTCCAAGTTGGCTTCTGGTTGGCAAACCTGAGTTGACCAAGTGGGCACAAGATTTTTTGCACAAGCGACACAAAAGATATGCTTACATTTTTTCCCCCCATCTACTCCTTTTGGAATTTAGGTTTATCTTTTGTTTGGCTGAATATGATATTTGAGGGAAGGTTATCCTTAATGGCTGTTGCATTTTATAAGCATGCATTTCTGATATTGCACTGACAGATCAATTGTTATATATACTTCTCACATAGAGAAAGTAAGAATTACTGTTTATTTATTCAGGCATCGCATACATCTTCACTAGCACTCTTTTTCTTTTGAATACTTTTAACCTTGTGAACAATGTTGCGTGGTCCAAGTGAAGAATGCATAATTAGAGCAAACTGAAACGTACAAAGGCCTTGATCTTCTTATTTAAATGTGAAGTGGACACTTAATGCATCAGTTTGTGTTTTTCATACATACTTCATTTCTCTCATATGTCAGCTCTACAATTATTGACATGATCAGGGAATTTGAATTGATATGAAATTTAGTAGAGAAGGAGAGACAATTCCAAGCTGAAAAATTATTATTCCATTCTCTGGTTTAAGCTTTGCAGGATGAACTGAACACTGTTGGAAACAGGACATTGAATTATATTTTTTGATATTGTTGGGAAGTGATTTACATTGAATTATATACTACAATGTATTTGCAGAATATTTAGCAATATGGGCAGAAATTGGAATCTTCTTTATAGAGGGTTAGATAATATTTTTTTCTAGCTCTCAATTCATTATTTTTTATCGGAAATGCCAAAGATTGAACCTAGGGCCTTCTGCATGCATACATGTGCTTCCCCACTATATTGTAACCACTCTTTAGTTTTTATAATACTCATTGTCTCAACTGGAAGATAGCATTTGGGTCTACTGAACATTTAGTACCTCCTGTTCTACTGATCATCTGTTGAAACTATCATGTGTATGTATTTTTACTCAATCACCTGGGATCAACCAGATAAGTCCTTCACTTACTATAGTTAAGTTTTTGGACCAAGCAGTTAGTTTTGCTGTAAGTATATTGTGTTTTAATTTTTTAAAAATTAAAACTTGATTATTTCTTTCATTCAAAAGACAGCAGAGAAGAATCTGTTCTTGGAAGTATACCATTACCTAGTTATGTAATTTCATCTGTGGGACCTGAAGAGCATATAAATCGCAAATATTCCTTTAAGGTAAATTTACTATTTGCAGAATATATAGTTTCTTTTAAGCAACCAGATATGTTGCCTTTTGAGATATATATTTTAAAGATTATAGGTCTCCCTTTATATTTAATGAAAAAATAGAATTGAAACATCTCTGTACCATTTTTTTAATATAGTCTTGATATTTTCTTGAAAAGATGTCATAAAAGAAGCTAGTTGATTTTCTGATTCATTGGAAAAATCTGCAACTGAAACAATATCTTAAATGTCTTTGTGTAGATTTTGCAAAACAATAGGTTTTGGACTTTTCTTTTCCTTGACTGGGCCCTGAACTGGCAAATTACCTGACAAATTCTAATTCTATGGTTAGAATAATGTATTTATAAATATTATGTAGCATGTTTTAAAAAGCTCATTACATAAAGTGGATGGTTTCTCAAATTCTGCAATAGTAGTCTACACAACTCTAAACTTTTACCCTTGTTGCATATGCAATATTTTTTTCCTGTTTATCATCATCAGGAATTGGATTAGTTTTAACACAATTTGCTTTAGTTTGACTGTATTTGGAAAATTATTTCAACCTATAGTTAGATTTAGGCTCTGTTGATATTAGTTAGTATAGTATTTAGTACTCTGGCTTAACATTAAAACCCAGAAACATATAATGCTGAGTTTTATAAGTATTGTACATATGAATTTATTAACTCTGAATGTATCTAATTCAGTGTTCTTAGCTTATTTGGTGTTCTTCAGTACAAAAAGATTAAGTCCAAAAATGATTGTAAAAAGCGGGTGGAAATATCAATTTATTTTGCAATAGGATTTTTTCCACTGCCAAAAGAATCCTATCAGAAAAAAGCAAGTAGGTAAAAATACATTTTATCTACTTGAAACAAATTAATAATTCACATAAGAGATGGTATATTGTGGTTGGAAGTATGTTTAATTTAAAAAAGTCAAAAATATATGCCATCCATATTTGTATTCTGCTTTCCAAACAGAATTAGATGTTACATTATATATATATAACCCTAAATATTTTGGCTAAGTGTTTTACAATGGAAAAGTGATTTAAGGTAGCTACATGGCTATCTTCCTTCATTTTGTTTCAGAAACTGTAATTCACATTGAATGTGCTTACTTTATGTTACATAAATAATCATAAACCTAAACCACAGTTCTTCCAATTGCAAAGTAGTTTGTTGGTTTTATTATGTATGTGTATAATGCCAACCCACAAACTGCACCCAAGTGAAAAGTCAGGCAGAGTGCCTCCAGAAGAGATAATAGATTTATTTATCTATAATATAGTCCCAAAGGTTTAATTACTATGGTGGTTAATTAGGTGATATTACATTTTACCAGTGTATATATTTTATGGATTGAAGTAAGTTCCATTGAATTACCTGCAATGAATACATAATTCTAACTTCATCATAAAATATGTATGCTAAATTATTCTCTAGAAAGTTGTGTATTATTGATTAGTAAAATAAATTACGTGCTCCATATTTCACAGATATAAATGTTCAAATCATTTGTGATCCCGAAGATAAAAATAGAGATAGATGAGTTAGGCTCCCTGACCATTTGCCCATGATATATACGGTGAACCTTCAGACTAACAGTTTAGAACAGTAAAATATAAAAACTAGTACATAATAAAAGAAAGGCATGTTGCAGGCCGCATCCACAAAACAATGTATCTGATGGGAGACTAGAAGGTAGCATTTTTTCTGCCACAGTACATAATTCTCTGGAAGATCATTGCTCCTAGGGCCGGGTTAACTCTGATCTTGCTGGTCTTCCAGAAGAGCCTGAAAACTTGGCTTGCATCTGGTCTGGGGATCCCATGACATGGGAATGGGACCTGCTAAGTGGTTGTATTGCTAGGGGAATAGAATGCACTCCCTTGCTGGTGTATGGGTTTTTTTTTAAAAAAATGTTATTGGGTTACAGGTAGTCCTTGACTTACGACCACAATTGAGCCCAACATTTATGTTGCTAAGTGAGACATTTGTTAAGTGAATTTTTGCCCCATTTTACAACCTTTCTTGCCACAGTTGTTAAGTGAATCACTGTAGTTGTTAAGTTAGTAACACAATTGTTAAGCGAATCTGGCTTCCCCATTGACTTTGCTGGTCAGAAGGTTGCAAAAGGTGATCACATGATCCCGGGAAACTGCAACTGTCATAAATACATGCCAGTTGTCCAGCGCCTGAATTTTAATCATATGACCATGGGATTGCTGCATCGTCATAAGTGTGGAAAATGGTCGTAAGTCATTTTTTTCAGTGCCATTGTAACTTTGAATGGTCACTAATTGAACTGTGGCAAGTCAAGGACTATCAGTGTTTTGTTGTATTGTTTTAGTGTATTTAGCTTTGTATGTCACTCAGAGTTATTTATGTGAATTGCATGGCTAAATTTACCAATAAAAAAAAATAGATTGAATAAAAATAGAGCAGTCAATGAAAATGAAAACTGTTTAAAAAACACAATATCAATATAATATACAGTTCAAACCTCACCTCCATTGGTCTTTGTGAATGCTATATAGCTGCAACCCCCTACAAAATAATTCACTTTTTGCTACTTTATGGAGGTATGTTGAAACAAATCTCATTTCTAAGAGGTCATAGAGACCATGACAGAGACACTTGACCTTTGGACCCCGATGGATGTAAATTCTTACATACTGGGTATAGATAATATCTCTAGATGGGATGAACTATTGGATAGGATAGCTCTACCTGAAAAAGGCATTCCTGCAGATAGCTAGGAGCCAAGCCATTGAGGGCATTAAAAGTCAAAATCAATATTTTGAATTGTATATGGAGACTGTAGATAACCCATTCAGTGTCTTAGTATATGGAATAACACAGCTGTAGCAGCTTTCACTTTCCATCGTCTCAGGAGTTGCATTCTACACCAACTGCAGTTTCGATATAGTCTCTCAAGATGACCGAGTTGAGAGTAAACTGCAGTAGTCTAACTTAAGGCTCATATCCGCATGAATTTCTGTTGCTAATGTTTATAACAGTAGCATACTCATGCATTATAATTTGCTATTCATAGGAAGAAATGGTGGAATAAACAAATTTTCTCATTTCTTTGGTGGAAAATGTGATGTCTTAATGAATCCGTAAAAGCAGTCTTTCAGATTGGTTCTAATGATGCATTCCCTTTCTCTCTTCTAAGTCCTGAGCCCAGGGTAATTTATTTTCCATTGTTGTATCTAAATCAGTTTATGTATTAATCTAAATTATTCCATCTTTAAAGTCAAATACTTCTGTCTAATACTTTGCATTATTTGTAAAAATGTAGGCAGTTCTTTTCCAAATGTTTATTGTCACAACTACTACTTTCAAAATTATTTATTCCTTGCATACTTTGACTTTATTTCATGGATAATATTCCAATAAATAGATTGATATTAAATATTAGTAGTGCAATTCCATATAGTTACTTAGAACTAAAACACCAGGATTTATTCCCATTGTCTTTTCCAATGAAGTAAAACATGCAACAGCTCTTATTCCCAATGGCTTTACATTTAAAAATTAGAGAATTTTTTTATCCCAGATTTAATGTAAGCTAGCATGTCTGAAACACATTGGTACTTTGAAAAATACCCCACTATTAACCCTCCTTCCTTCCTTCCTTCCTTCCTTCCTTCCTTCCTTCCTTCCTTCCTTCCTTCCTTCCTTCCTTCCTTCCTCCCTTCCTCCCTCCCTCCCTCCCTCCCTCCCTCCCTCCCTCCAATAAACTTTTTTTGTCTGCAAGAATCTATAGAATCCAATATTTATTCTTTATTCTGTAGCCAGAAAGCCTAGAGCCTACATTACATAGGCTAATTTGTGTAATATTGGTTCATATCCTGTATTGCGTATGAAAAGAATTAAAATAATATGTTGCACATTTCTTATCTTAGGAGACTGCACTGATTTTTCTTGGATGGATGAAAATCTTAAAGGCACATTGCTAGTAATTACATGCTCTTTCTGTGCTTTCTATTTAACTGTCTTCTTAACTGATTCCTTAATGTTTCCATTCAGGACTATCAATTTGATTTTATTTAGCAATCCTGCTATTTTTTAGTTCCAAGTGTTTGCATGAGAAAAATTGTGAAGGATGGTATTTTAAGTGAACTTCAGAAGAGTTACGATTCCATGCAGTCATTTTATAAAAAGAGTGAATGACTGTTTCTAAGGGTTTGAATTTACACCAAATTCCTATTAATGATTTAGGCTTCCATCTTTTTAACTTTTTCAACTTTGTTCTTGTTCTATTCTTATTGATGTGTGCTTTGGGTTTGTTCTCCATTTCTTCTTCTGTGCAAAATGGGAAAGAGACTGCCTTTCCTTCTCCCTCTTTCCAGAATAAGGGCGTCTGAATGCATGAATAGGTACCAAATACCACTTTTTCATCCCTATTGTGAATGTGTATGTGATGTATTTAAAAATGGTTGTAAATTAGAACTATTTATCCCAATCTGTGGCTCACAAAACTCATGTGTTTTACTGTTACTGATTGTCTCTGCACTTAACAATCATAGCTTTTTATGTTGCTTATTTGGTGTGCTGCTAAGAGATAACTGGCTTATATTTAGACATTGCTGTTTTATGCTATCAGTTACACATGGTGGAGATAGTCCTTCTAGTGGCAGGGTTTGCTGATAACATGACATGTGTTGCTTACTCTAATTGTGTAAGCTTGCTTTCTTTTGCCACCAAATGTGGATATTGGCAAAGTTCTGCTTTCTGCTTTTCTAACTACTGTATTTTCCGGCGTATAAGACGACTTTCTAAAGCGTGGAAATCGGCACCGAAGTTGGGGGTCATCTTATACGACGAGTCGTCTTATACGCCAGAAATTACGGTAGTTTCCAGCGTATAAGACGACTTTCTAGGCATGGAAATCGGCGCTGAAGCTGGGGGTCGTCTTATATGCCGAGTCGCCTTATGCGCCGGAAAATACGGTACTAGACTATCAATGAAAAGGTTGTTCTACAGTCCCCCATCTGGAGAAAGTAGTGTATTGCATTAAGAGCCAATCAATCTTTATTATGATTGTATAACCCTGGGATAGGCAACCTTGGCTCTTTTATGACTCGTGGACTTCAACTCCCAGAATTCCTGAGCCAGCATGGCTCAGCTTGGAAGCCTCTCCTTTTCCCCCTTAGCATGGCTGGCTCAGGAATTCTGGGAGTTGAAGTCCATGAGTCATAAAAGAGCCAAGGTTGCCTACCCCTGGTATAACCCCTCTTAAAATTCAGAAAGCCCATAACCAATATCAAGCATTATTTATTTATTGTTACTAGAAAAAGCTGCAAATGGCTTATCAGATCAGTCATGGTTCCTTTGGTCATTCCCACCATTACTTGGATAACTATGGTAATTCTAAAACGGGTCTTCAAACTTGGCCCTTTTATGACTTGTGGACTTCAACTCCCAAAATTCCTCAGCCAGCCATGCTGGCTGAGGAATTCTGGGTGTTGAAGTCCACAAGTCATAAAAGGGCCAAGTTTGAAGACCCCTGTTCTAGGATATCCTGACCAGTATTGACCACGTTATTGTCACTAATTGCATAAAACAATGAAGGAGCTCACAGCTACAATGTCTACACACAGGAAACCAGTATTTTTTAAAATAATTTCATCTAAATGAAAAGTAACCCACATTCTGACATTTTCAGTACTGATCTCTAAAAGTAGCATTCACCAAATATTGCTTATAGTGGGAGATTTGATTTTAGTCAATAAATCTGCATTAATTAATTAAATTAATTAATCCATCCATCCAATTTTGAAACTGCCCACTCCCTCACAGAGGGACTCTTTATGTTTTGGGAGAGTTGTCTTTAAGAGGTTTTAGAGGTCTGCTAATGGCTAGACATTTTAATCTCAGACATTAATAAACATATAAAGATAAACCACATTTACAAAAGAGACAATAAAAAAAATTAAAAAGGAACAAAAAAAGCAGAATAAATATCTCCACCAGCCTACACCCAGATAAACAGGGAACACCAGACAAACAATCTAGCAGAAAACAACAACCTAATCAAAGAACTACCAAGGAGAAAAGCATACACCAACGTGTAGGGCAAGCTACTGTATATAAACAGAGTGTAAAACCAATACTTATTAGCACTGACAGTGTTACATAGTTCGGTAATAAAACATTTGCAAGCAAACAACCAAGCTCAGAGAGAACCCAGGAGCTCACAGTAAAAAAGATTAGAATCACCAACATCTACTTTGACAATGTGCACTAGTAAACTATGTATATATGTGTGAATAGATTTGCCTAAAGAAGGTTAAATGGAACTCAAGACCTGAATATCTTGATGAGCATTTCAAGAAAATGAGAAGCTTTCAGTTCTTTGTTTTCGTGTTTGTGTGTGTGTGTGTGTGTGTGTGTGTGTGTGTGTATTTGCCAAAAAGATAAAAGTAGTTCCTTTTGTAATGGAGTTTAACTGTGAATTCTGCCAATTTATAAGTGCAACTTGCTAGCTTTATTTATTTATTCACACATTTTCCTCTGATGCTAAAGCTCTGTGTCTGATATAGTGTTACTATATGCCTCTATAATAAAACAGATTTAGTTGTGGCATTAAGTTCCCTTCCTTGTCTTTGTTAGTGTGGCATGTATGTAGTAGCATCATAATTTGAACTAATCCGTATGATGTTCCCTCTTGTTCTGATTTCCTCCAAATACTGTACTCTGCCCTGTGTTTCACTGAATGTTGTGGCTGCCTGCAGCATGGCATGTAAATCAACTCTAATAAGAAACAAATTTTTGTACTTAGCTTGCCCCAAATGTGATGTGATCCAGAAGGTGTTAACTATCACTTTTAAAAATTGTATTGCACAGTAAAATAGTGTATTCAAAGTGATGATAACCAATCTCAGTATCTGGCAACAAATTTATAACAGTTTTATATTTTAATAAAAACAGAAAATAACTTTAAAAATATTCATTCCAATAAAAATTGATAGTATTAAAGATTTTTAATTTTCTTCTTCTCAATATACTATTCTTTACACAGCAATATAATATTTATAGTTTCAGCCAAAGAATGAGAAAATATAAACTCAGCTGGCCTGTCAGTGTAATTTTTGCCATCCATTTCCTTGAGATACAATTCACAATTAACCAGTGGAACAACCTGCCTCCAGAAGCAGTGAATGCTCCAACACTGGAGGTTTTTAAGAAGAGACTGGACAGCAATTTGTCCGAAATGGTATAGGGTTTCCTGCCTGAGCAGGGGGTTGGACTAGATGACCTCCACGGTCCCTTCCAACTTTACTACTACTACTACTACTACTACTACTACTACTATTATATTATATTATTATTAGAGGAATGTTATAAAATGTTAAGTTACTGATACAAAGGCCAGAAACAAGCTGTGATATCATTGGAATTGTATGGGAAAAAAAGTCCCACACGTTTATCCTATTATATAGAAACCATCAGGGCTGTACTGTAGTGATTTTGATGGTACCACCTTATATTTCTGTAACATAGGCCCTACTGATTATTTCAAACATTTTTCAATTTAAGTAGCTGCTGCTCTTTCAAAAACATGGGATTTTCTTCTTTGATATTGGCTAAAGTGCCTCAATCTCTCTCTGTTTACAGGCTGTCCATACAGGCATGAGGGCTTATATTTATAATAAGAGTTCTGTTATTGGCTCTCAGGCAGAACATTCAGGGATGCGCACATACTACTTTAGTGCAGATACTCAAGAAGATATGAATGACTGGATCCATGCAATGAATCAAGCTGCTCTTATGCAAAGCCATTTTTCACCAAAGAGGCAAGTTCGCGTATTTATATATGTTTGTAATGAACAATATATTTTCAGTCATATTTAAAAAACATTTGTCTTTTTTGTTAAAAACCCTCTTTGACTTTTTAATATTAAAGCATTAGATGTCACTGCCACCTGCAGAAGGCTGTGCCCATTTATTTACAATAATGAGCAATAATTTCATCCTGAAAACCTTGCCAAGAAAAACTGCAGGGACTAGTCCAGGATCTCCCAGGGGTCAATATAAACCTGGATGCTAAATATAAATTAAATATAAATATTTAAAACTTCACATAAGTCTGCCTATAATTAAAAAAATTCTCCCATTTTTCGTTCTCTAAGATTGCATTAAATTTAATTCTTTAGTTTGGTGATTTCTGTATCTGAAAGGATTTCTGTAATGATGTGAAGGTCATTGTTAGAAGGTAAATGTAAAAAGAAATAATTATCAAGCATTAGCAAAGACTGAATTTGGAATAAATGGGAAAACGGCAGAAAAGTTGAGTGAACGTTTATTGAATTAATTGTATTGACAAGGTGAATTTCATGTCAAAAGTTTTTTTTTTAAAGAATCTTTCATAAATAAATAATAAACATATGTATTTGAGGGGGTCCTTAGTGCTCTCTGAGCTTGCTTGTTTTTTTACCCAAACTAGGTAACATCATCAGAGCATCAAGGACCCCTCATGTCAATCCTGAGCAACAAATATTCTTCTTTATTAGTACTTATGTATTTTCAGTCATTTAAAATGCTCTCTCAAGCCATTTACAAAGTGTTTAAAATAGATGTTTTAAGTTGTTGTAGTTCAGATACTATGATACTAACAATGTGAATGTCAGAGGCTGCAGGACTCCAGATCCTGTGAATTAGTAAGAACCATGTTCATCTGGCAAAAGAAAATATTAAGGCAGAGGGAGTATTTTAGTTTTTCTTACTGTTTAAAAACCCTTTATCTGAAATTTTCATAGGATCATAGATAAGTGATAACAGGCTGCAGAAAGATAAGAACTTTTATTCACTGGGTTGAAAACAAATTCTCTATATATTTTTCGCTACCTAAACATTCTTCTTTTGCTAAAATAAAATATAAAAATAGATATTCTACAGATGTATATTTATTCATACTAACCCTCCCAATCCTTGAAATAACTATCTTAGGAGGCAGATTTTATAGCAACTATTTAAATAAGTTTCTTCTTAAGGAAGTAAGGATAGTCATTTTAGTGGGTCTTAAAAATGGTTTGTTTTATTAAAGTTTCATGCAAGCAATATGTTAGGATAATAGATTCTGTAGTCCTGATTGCCTGTTCCTCAATATTATTCCAAAATCCTTGCCTTGCCTTTAAAATGATCAGTCAAAAAGTAAGCAGTAACAGGAGCTGTTTTGAATGTAGCACTGATGGGACAACACTGAGTAACTTTACTCAGTTTCCTTCCTCGTCAAATAAATAATTGCATGGGCCACCAGTGGAAAGCAGATTTCCTGTTCAGAGGTCAAAGGCACTAGGTAGAAATTGGGAGACTGTGAGTTCTAGTCCCACCTGGGCATAAAGCCAGCTGGGTGTCCTTTGCAGTCACACTCAGCCCTAGGAAGAAGGCAAGGGCATACCACATCTGAAAAACCTTGTCAGGAAAACTGCAGGGACTAATTTAGTTAAAAATTACTCAAAGGAAAAAAAGAGAAAGAGGGATATTTTAATAATTAAGAGGAAAGGCTTCATTATGTCTATTTATAATGTATATGCATAAAGAATATGTGTATATTCTAGTCTTATCACATCTGGAGTCATCAATTTGGGTAAGCTGCTTTAGTCACTACAATGAACAATAAATATGTAAATTAAAATATACATTTTTTAATCAAAAAGTACTTAAATATGAAGCAATCTTAAAGAATATAAGTGAAGAACCACCCCCCATTAGGACCCATGCCAACCAGCAGAGCCAGGTTTTAAGGCATTGTGGAAGGCCAAAAGAGTGGGGGCAGATCTCATCTCTGTTCTCACCTCTCGCCACCAAATGTTAGGTTTGCACATCATGCTAATGCACTGTGCTACTCTTGTACATGTTGATTCTTCTTAACCATTGCATTCCAACTGACAAAGTTACAAGGGAAATTGAGACTTCTAAAACTTACATAAAACGAAATTAATTGTAGACATTTTTAATAACCCTATTTTGATTGTGAGAATGTCGTTTTCATAAGATTTTGAAAAGGGTGTAAAGGTGAGGAATTAAACGGCCTGGGATTGGAAACTATTTGCAGCCTCTGCAATAAAACAAAAACTGCTCAGTTGAATTATAAAATCTGAGCAAACATAAGTGATTCAAAATACTGTGCTGACTTTTGTGCCTGTGGATTTCTTTTTTTCCTTAGAGGAACTGAAAAAACAGATCAGCATGCTGTCCCTCAAGCTAATCATATTGATGTCTACAAAGAAGTTCCAAAATTAGAACCTGCTGAGGCAAAAAGAGGCTACAGAAAATCACCCGAAATGTCCGCATATGGCAAACATGAAGAAATGAAAAAAGTAAGAGATGATGAACATTACACTGCAAGGAAGAATGCTGTGGATTCCAAATGGGAGAAACCTAAACATGTAATAGAACCTGGTAGAACACTGAATCCTGCCTCAAGTATCTCTCGGCCTCAAGCGACTCAGACCCTTGAGAAGAATGGAATGCCTCCAAGTTCATTAAATACAGGTCCAGTAGAGCAGAATGGTATCAGTGTCTATAAAAGAAGCTTTATTCCCAGATCAACACAAAATAAAGAGACACAAAGGAAAAGTAATATGACTCACATAGAACATTGGGTAAAAGTCCAGAAAGGAGACACAAAAAGGTTAGTAAGCTGGGACTGTTTGTTCTATATTTTATTGTTTTAAAGTAGAGGTTTGGTATTTTTCTTGACTCCCTCAGTTAATAATGCTGATTGCCTAATTCCCCTAATTCCTAATTATATAGGAGCATTAGTAACCTTTGGAAATGCTCTGTGGGTCTACATAGAGCCTCAGATTATACTGTATACCTTTGCTCTTTTGTTCTTGAAAAAAATCTTTTTTTTTTTAATTTAGGAATTAGAATGTGCAGATCAATGTAACTCCAATCTATCTGAGTATCATATATATTCATGCAACATTTAATTTGTTTTTTTTCCCACCAAATTGTTTAAAAGGAATAATTCAGAGCAGTGTTTTATATACTGTGTTTCCCTGAAAGTAAGGCCTACCCCAAAAATAAGCCCTAGCTTGATTTTGGGGGGTGGGCCCAATATAAGCCCTATCCCAAAAATAAGCCCTAGTTTGGGGGTGAGGCGCACACTTAAAAATCAAGCTTGAGCGGGGGTAGGGGTGTGGATCTGCCCCACACGCCCCACACCCACTTACCTTGCAGCCAGGCCTCTCCTCACCGGCCCACTTCTTCTGCGGCCTCCTCTGCAGCCAGACCTGCATTTCTCAGTCACAGGCCTTTCCAGAAGGTCTGTGCAGCCAAGAACCAAGCTATGGATTCAATCCATAGCTCGATTCTGCAAGACCTCTGCAGCTGAGGACCAAGCTATGGATTCAATCCATATCTTGGTACTCGGCTGCATAGGCCTTCCAGAAAGGCCTGACTGCAAAATGTAGGCCGGAATGCAGCTGCAGAAGGAAGCCGCTCCTTCAGCCCCAGAAGAAGTGGACCTACTGGGTGGGGCTGTCGGTGCCAGAGATAAGTAAGACATCCCCCCAAAATAAGATGTGCCTCTTTTGGAGGCAAAAAAAAAAAAAAAGACCTGGTCTTATTTTTGTGGAAACACGGTAGATTTGGGATGCAAGTTCTTCAGCATATCTTGGAAAGGAAAGAAAATACCTACAAAACTAGATTGGGCATCACATATAAAGAAAGTGATTTTTCATATTATAAAAATCTAGAAAATTGGATGGGAGAAAGAAATGTCTAATGGTCAAGTTTAAAAATCAGAACTATGAAAGTTTCCAATCTCCTATCTAACTGTTCATGGAGGATCTCATAGATCCGTGGTGGCGAACCTATGGCATGCATGCCACAAGCGGCACACAGAGCCCTCTCTGTGGGCACGTGCGCTGTCATCCCAGTCCTAGGCCTTCCGCTGGGTTTTATAAAACCTTTTCACTTTAGGCCTCTGCCGCCATGTGCAAAAAAAAAAAAGGTTCAATCAATCAGTCAATTTTAACTTCTCATGGGAAAAAAAAAGATCTCGCAAAGTTGGAATTGATTGATTGAACTTCTTAGTCCCATCCAGTCTGCCCTTAGCACCGTAGCCATGCCCACCCAATGGGCCACGCCCACCCAATGGGCCACGCCCACTTGGCACCCGACTATACAGACATGGGTTTTGGGTTGCAGTTTGGGCACTCGGTCTCTAAAAGGTTCGCCATGACTGTCATAGACTGAGAAATTACTGAAAAAAGAAAGCAAGTTGAACCTTGTTATCTTTTACCTCTTCAATCCATTTTGGCTTTGTATATTTTTTAGCTTGTGTATAACTTTGGTCTAAAATATAGATTTGTGTTTATTGAGGCCGTCAATAATTTTTGTTCATTCTTATTTGTATTCTTCTGTAACTTCATTTTGGCAAGAGATCATGCTTACCACTCTTAATTACTGTATACTATGGATTGTAATTAGGTTTTACAAGGCCTTCCTTGGCTTCTTGAGACATAAACTCATTTTTTTTCTCTAAAAACATGACAGAAGGTTAAACCATCTATTAATTGTGCAAAAGATTAGACTATATAAATTTATAACTTGTCACACTTTTTAATTTTTTGTCTTGAACTATAAACAATAACTCACATGAAGCCAAGTAATGAAATTATATATTTACAATTGGACAGCAACTTCAATTACTTTCTTCATTTTTGATGAACATCATATTCCAGCAATAGCTTCTAGGGATAAGAGCAATGTAAATAAATAATTATATATAGGTAAGAGAGCTTTCTCCACACTTAAATTTAGTGTATTTATACTGATTGACTATTAAGCTCTGAAATTTCTTTTTTTCAACTGGGATTGATAAAATATTTTGTTGAGTGGTATACTCCACCACCTAGTGGTAAGTGTTCCTGGTGAATGAATGCAAAATTATAGTGACACATAATTTGCTATAGTTACGTTTTTTAAATAATGGAGGGAATTCCTATAAATATTGTTTTGCATGGATCATACACTCTGACCCATTGTTTTCTATATTCCAAAATTTGAAAAAATCTGTCTACCAAAATCTGTTCTAAACTTCAATTTTGCAAATGTTTGGCTTTTTAATAAGAGTTGTTTTTTTGCTTAATCCCTAACAAAGTTACTTTCTTACAGTCTTGCATCTGACCAGACTCTTACTCGCCAAGTACCAAGCCATTCTGTATCCTTTCCTGAAAATTACCATACTTTGCCAAAGAATGCTAGGCAACCTTCTGGAAGCTCCCCTCCCTCAAACCGTGATTTGCCAAGTGACTACAAATATGCTCAAGATCGAGTAAGCCACCTGAAGATGTCCCATGATGAGAGAAAAGCTAACAAAGATGGTACCGTTTGGCAGCTATATGAATGGCAACAAAGAAAGCAGTTTAAACATGGGAGCCCAACTGCACCTGTTTATATTAGTTCTCCAGACTTTACAGATAGTAGTAAGGGAAGAAGTTCATTAGAAGTTCCACGTTCAGTTTCAGTTCCCCCTTCCCCATCTGACATACCTCCACCAGGACCCCCCAAAGTTTTTATATCACGAAGACCACACACTCCTGCAGAAAGGGTTACTGTCAAACCATCTGAGGAGAGACAAACAATAGACGTTCCTTTTGTTGGCTCACCAAGGAAGATTCGAAACCACACTGTAAAAGTGAGTAAATAGAAAAAACTGTTTTTTTCTAGTTTACTAATCAGTTAATTTAAATTAAATTACCATGCTAAATAATCTGCAGTTTATCTGATAACTGGGTACTGTAAAGTTGTATATTATCTACTGCCACTTTCTTATCAAGGTCAAGTCCTCTGATTTTCAGCATGTAGCTAATTATATGTTTAGAGAAACAAGATTCATGGGATATGGGCTTTAATTGCTCATTAGTTTAAAGTTATCTGAATGAGAGCTGAATATTGTCACTTCTTGAGAGACAGAAGGATGAGCACACCGCACGATTATAAGAATGTTGCATTTAATTTCATTGATTTCAATAAATTGTCCGTGAGTAAGCTTTTGAAAATATAGTTCATTGAATCAGACTTTAATTAGAACAAAAATATTTGTTATAAGCAAAATGTTTCCACCGATAGTTCTTTAAACAGACATATCATATAAAAAAATCAGTGACAATGCCATTTTGTAGAAGGATATATACAAAGAAAGAAAAAGTGCGTATTTTGTAAAATAACATGTGTAATTTAATTAATAAATTAACATTTCCTTGTTTAGGAAGAAAGTTGTGTAAATCGGTTCAGACACAGTGGTTAGGAAAGGCGTAAAAGAATAGAAAAATATTTTTCCCACTTGAAATGTCTCATTAATGTTGCTTTTCAATTTCTCACAGAACTCTCTACACATAGATAGACGTTCCATGCCTACAATGGGATATATGACCCATACTGTAAGTGCTCCAAGTTTGCATGGGAAATCGGTAAGCTATATTGGCTATATATGTTTCCTTGTCTATGTATTAGTAGATTCCGATAGAACCTCTAAGGGTGACTGAATCTTTATTGACTTTTCATGTCATATTGATAGACTGAAGTAATTTGAACTTCCTGTCATTAATGGTGCCCTTTTTCATTGCTACTGAATCCTTAGGGAGAACTGTAAATAGAATTCCAATAGAGGGATTGGCCCTGTTGTGTGTGTTGTTACATACCTTTTTAGCCTTCAAGCAAAAGTAGAAAAATGTAACTGCTCAGTCATGTCAAATAAACATTTTTATTGGCGTGTGAAGTAAAGCTTTTTAACTATGATGACTCTCCCTGAAACTTGCTAATTTCCTCTTTACGATGTGTCCAAATACCTGCAGCCTGAAGAGCTAACATTGCTTCTCATTCGATTAAGGAGACATCAGGCTAAGTTGGCTCATATACGAAATTACACAATCGCCCAATTACTGCAGCACTTGCCAACTAATTCCACTTATCAGGTCAGCTGCTAATTGGCTCATCTGTGCTGTATATGATGTTCTGTGACTCTGCAAGTGCTTCACCGGTGCCATGCTTGAGTCCATGCTTTCTTGCCCATTCTTAAGTCTGTTCAAGTCCCTGGATCATTCATAATTTTACTTTGCTCCTGCGTGCAAATAATTATCAGCATTTTTATACTATGGGGCTGTGGCACATGAGTAAGAGCATTTTGACTATTATTTTGCTTCGGTGTTATTTTTGTGAATGCTGCATTTTGTTCTAAAACAAAACCTGTTTAAAAAGTAAACTATTGTTTTGCAGTTTCATCTGTTTTGTCTGAAAAAAGTAAGCCGTCTGATAATTTACAGTGGGAACCATCATTTATCAAACCTGCTTTTCTTTCTCTCTGGTTTATGTAGTTTAACAATGAGGGAAGGTCTAAATCAGGGGTAGGCAACCTTGGCTCTTTTATGACTCGTGGACTTCAACTCCCAGAATTCCTCAGCCAGCATGGCTGGCTCAGGAATTCTGGGAGTTGAAGTTCACGAGTCATAAAAGAGCCAAGATTGCCTACCCCTGGTCTAAATACACCAGGATAGTCACATATTCTACTTATCTGAAAGGATGGTAGCCCTGAATTGTGGACAGTTCCACCAGAGGTGAGAGTACAAGTTGTCCTTGACTTGCAACCATTCATTTAGCTGCCATTCAAAGTTGCAACAGCGCTGAAAAAAAGACATATGCCCAATCGTCGCACTTACGACTGTCACAGCATCACCATGATCACATGACCAAAATTTGAGCGCTTGGCAACTGGCGTGTATTTACAACTGTGGCAATGTCTTGGGGTCATGTGATTGCCTTTTGCAACCTTTCTAGCTGGCTTCTGACAAAATGGGGGAAGCCAGATTCATTTAACGACTGTGACAAAAAAGGATGCAATATTGGGCATGACTCACCTAACTGGTTAGTTTAGCAATAGAAATTCTGGCCCTAGTGGTGGTTGTAAATTGAGGACTGCTTGTAGGCATATTATTCACCCAGGCAAAACCCTGCAGAGTATCCAGCTTCTTCACTATGTCAGCCTGGGATGGCCAATGCTAGTTGAGGTAATCTTAGAGGTTTACCATTCCTGTCACTAATGTATGAGTGGGTTTCTCTCTCTCTCTCTCCCTCTCTCTCTCTCTCTCTCTCTCTCTCTCTCTCTCTCTCTCTCTCTCTCTCTCTCTCTCTCTCTCTCTCACACACACACACACACACACACACACACACCCCAGAAGCCACACTCCCAAAAATATATATCAGCTAAACTAATAACTTTTTAATGGAAATGTTTGCTGATAAGATATAAGATAATTTTCAAAATTAATTGATTGTCATTCTGCTGTTATTGTTCATTCTTGCTCACACATATTTGCTCTCTTGTATTTGCTCTATTTTATTAGAAGCCACATTCCAAAAAAAAGAGGGCAGGAACAACATTTATTATTTATTTATCAAATTTCTTTACAGTCCATCTTATCTAGTGACTCTGGGACATTTACAAACAACGTAATAAAACAATATAAAAGTGTAGCTAAAAGCACAAATGAAACCAAAATTAGAAACAAGGGTAAAATTTGCAAGTTAAGAATAAAAGTCAAGGTTAAAAAATTCATGAAGCTAAAAGGTTAATAAAGCAGTGAGAGCGTCCTCATGCCAGCAACCATCCCCAGGATTGCATAACACTCTTAGACATCCATGTTAACTGGCAGAATCAGAACTTAACACTGGAGGCTCGTGTCATCTTTTTTGTATATTTATAATAAGACATATTTTTTTAAAAAAATATTATGATTTATTGGATTGTTGTAAACTGCTATGGGCCAGTTTTCCTAGAAGCATTACAATACATAAATATTACAAATAAATCAATATATATGCATATTAATTGAAATAATAATTACATGTACATTTATAAAATATGCATTTGCAAATTGTAAAGTTTACATTACCTTTGAAAATTTGCAGAATTAAATGATCCACACCTGCATATAAAAGTGAAAACATTATTTCTTGCACACATATGTATACATGCATGTATACATACAATCTTCTCTTCCCTTGCAGATGAAAGAGAAAATTAGGATGGCAATAGAATAGGAGAAGGGAGTTAACTGTTCAGGGAAGGGGAAGAGAAGCAAAAATGGTGGAACAAAACTAAGCAGAGATAAGACAAGTAAAGAGATAACTGGATAGTGAAGGGGGGAAAAAAAGCCTGTTATTTGTGTTTCACAAAGGATTTGAATTCAGTAGAGAAGTGTGCAAACCAATCTTTAGCGGTACCTGGTGGGTACTGATATTTGCATTTTTTTCATTTCTTTGATTTCAACAATTTAAGAATTTGAAATTGTTGAAACCAAATCAGCAAAAGTAAAATCAAATCAGCAAATGTAAAATGACCGATTTATATATATTTATTTGGGGGAAAAAGCTTTCCTTTTCCTCTTGGGTACATATGGTATATTTCAGAATTATGTCATTTCTTCATGAATATATCGGTGGTTCTTTTGCATCACAAACCAATTGCAATTAAACACAGAGAAGAGTTTTACATAGTTGTTATTTATGTAAAGCACAGAATGTTAGTTTGAAGTTTGGACTAAATAAACTATACAGAAAATGTCAGTCATCTTTTATAATTACTTTTAGAGCTGTACAATTCTTCAGTTTCATTTTGGATATGGTCTCACTAAATTTTTCTTACTGCAAATACCCAAAAGGATTCTGCTTCCTAGCTAATGATTTATATGGTTACCATTCCTACTTTGGGTTGGAAACTATGCAGAATATAATTTGGGTATTTTCTTGGGCAGGCTTGGTCCTATGTTGGCATTATTATGACAGACATCTCCCTTCCTTTTGCCTTTTCACTCACTTTTCTATGGGGAAATTTTTTTCACCTCGGCAACTAAGCTAACTCTTACTCTTAATTTCTAGTTAACAGCAAACTAGAACAGAATAGCTATTTGGTTTGCTGGGTGGCTCCATTTCAGAATGTTAATGAGCAATAGCAGTAGTAACCGACTGTCCATTTTTAATATGCTCAGTCACTCAATTCTTTTGGTTTCATATTATAAAGTTAACCTGAAGGAAAATGTATGCTTTAAATAATGAACTTGGTTAAAATGATGACTATGGTGTCTCATGATGAATTTAAGTAGTCTAACATCTAAAAGTAACTTTATTTTTAAAATAATTTCAGTGATATGGATTTATGTAGCACTGCATGTTAACCAATTTGGTAGATAACAAGCCTTTATATTTTGAGTGTGCTTCTATTGATTGACTTGTGCTCTTCTCATTCAACTATAACTATCAGTTGGAAAAGCTAAGAACAAACTATTCTTCCTTGCTGGATAGTTTTCATTTATGTTCAATTAGATCTAAGCTGCAAAACTGATGATCACAAACAGCAGCAAAGAGAGACGGAAAAGTCAATACTCTTTACTGCCCTATAGTGATCATCAATATTTTTCTCATTAGATTTACCACTCGAATATATAGTTTTTTGCAGAAACTTCTAGACATATTTGATAGAGTCTAATTATATAGTAAATTATATTTTACTATTGTTATTTCTGATTATTTGCAGGCTGATGATACCTACGTCCAGCTGAAGAAAGACCTTGAATATTTGGATCTGAAGGTAAAACATATCCACATAAAATGTCAATCTAGTAAAGTTACTTTTTTTCATTTTTTCCAGATATACTTCCCTAGTGGTTTATGTTATACTATTGCTTTATAAATCACTTGCTCATTAGATTTCTTTTGTGCATAGTTAGAATAAATTATAAATAAACTATACATGGTAAAATGAAAACAAAAGTCAGTCTGTTCTTCAGCAAGATCCAGGAAGTTCCATGGAAAAATTTGAAGTTTCTTCCTCTTATTACCAGAAGGATGGATTTCTGTGGGGGGTTTTTTTGTCACTCCTTTCTTCAGTTTTCCCCCTCCATTTGAACTAATATTTTAGATAGAAATGCTGCCAAAGAAAGAAAGAAAGTATCCCACTTGCAGTTGTCTAAATCCAATCCACGGTAGTTTTCTTTACAAATTAAATTTGCAGTTTCCTAAGGAGAGCAAAATAATTATAATTAAAATTTAGTGTTGGCATACAGTCTAGTGTGGATCTCCCACTTTCAACAATTGTGCTGTAAATATAGAAACATCTTTATTTATTTGTGAAAAATGTGAAAAAAGGAGCAACTTCTCTCTGCTACTTTATGTTAGATTGGATATATGAAAGTCATGTCTAAACATAGCTACTGATAGCTGGATTCCTTCTAGCAATAGAATGTCTAACTCTAAACAAACCAGGAATGCCCCCTCCCCCAGTGGGTATTTCTAGGGGCAGGAAAACAAATTAGAAAAAGTGTGATAACATCACACAATTGCTGCAACTTAGATATATGTTGGCATTAGGATGCAATTATATAATCACAGCATTTTTGTGGTTGTGTAACAAGATACCAGGAGCTCCATCTGTGGTTTTTTCAGCATTACTTGAATACCAGAACCCTTACGTTGCTTTTCCCAAGTAAGCCATTAGTTGGAAGCCAAAAACAAAGCCTTGACTTCAGGTTTTGGTTTATTAGAATAGAGAAAAAGTAAGTGATCCTGGAACATATATAATGTTAAGTGAAGCATAGAAAAGAACACCTGCTGGTTTTTCATTTAGTTTAGAAATTAACAAGTTCTTTTGGGGGGGAAGAATTCTATTTTTTCCTTCCTTTTCCAAGTGCCAGGGAATTCTAGTATTAATTTAAAGGAAAATAAAATCTGCAGAGCTTTGATGCACTTATTTGCCAAGTACTATTGCATTTTTGTGTTTTGCTGCTGAAATTCAGAAGTGTGAATTATGGGGTTCTCGGGCCATAAGAATAAATGATCACTAAACATCACACAAATCTTAATTATAGCAAGATACATAAAATGGTAAAGCACCGAATGACTGCTATTAACAAAGATAATAAGAAAACAAATCAATAGTCATAGAATCTCAGCATAATAACCTTCTTTCATATATGAAAAAGAAAGTCTATATTGGTTTTAGGAAATTTTGGGTTTCACCTCTGTTCTTTTATTATCCCAGCAATATTCAGGAAGGTAATAAAACTCTTTAAGCATTAGAATAGTACATTTAGTAAAAAAAAAAAAAAGAATTCCATTAAGAATCTTCTACCACATTTGAAGTTTTTGAATGTGTCTCAGATAAAAACCTGACTGAGTACATTGCAATAAATCATCCTGGAAGTTGCCAAGGCACAGGTTACATTTAAAAGATCATCTTTCCCCAAGAGGAAATAGCATGGCACATTTTTTAAAAACGAAAAGTGTTAGTTAACCAGAGATTCTATTGAGATCAATTTCAGGGTCAAATTTAATCATGCTGTCAGGTTGTGAACTTAAAGGAATTTCTGTCCCGTGCATTCAGACTAAATGCCATCTTAATCTGTCATATTAGATAAAATAAGTTCTCTACATCATGTGAATTTTTAAATGGAATCCATCTGTAAAGATTTTTTGTTCCAGATTTTATTATTTTACCAAGGTGAAATTAGGAAGTGTCTCTGAGAAGTTAAGTTCAACTTCCAGGTGTTTCAGAGAAGCATCCATGTATTTTTCTTGGCAACCAGGTCTGATCCTTTCTAGCTTTTCAACAGAATCCAGAATTGGCTGGGTGCTGCATTAAAGCTACAACATTTCATTATCTTGATAAATATTTCTGAAATTATACAAGTGCATGACTCTGTATGGTTTTCATACAAGAAAAAACAAACTAAAGTATAGAGCCCCTCCCCCCAAAAAAGCCTTCCCTTGGCAGTCCAGATTTTATTAAAATGTTTTTAATTTTAATACACAACTGCAAAGAATTAAGGGAGAACTGGAATAGCTATTTCGAACTCTTTAGTTCTTTTCAACCAGACATACCCTTCTGAGATTTGAACCTGGGCTGTCTGCATTTTAGGCAGCAGTATTAACCTCTAGGCCACAGGCTCTGTCTCACTTTTGCCAGCTGTGTTAGGGAGGGAAGAAACAGGGGAGGAGCTATTCCAATTCTCCCTTAATTCTTTGCTAGCAATCCAAATTTTAGAAATGTATATGACATCACAGTTGTGACTGCTGCCTGTGGATGGCTCTAGTTTGAGCTGATACAAGGCAAAAGATTTCTCTCTCCCATATTTGGGTCAACAGGGTGTAACATACAGCATTCTATATATATAGGAATGGTATTCTGTTTTACATTGTACTTCTTCGCTTTCTGTATGACTTTAGAACATTGCTAAAGTCTAAGGTTATAATAGCTTGAGAATCCAGGGGATAGAGGAGAATCTGAATAATAATGTTGGAGGACTGAATGAATCTATTCATCCTATTCAGGGGTTAGATAAAAATGAAAAATAGACTTTAGAGTCTTCTTCCTGATAGTCTAAAAGACCCTGTTAGACATTAAGTATCTTGTAGATCCTCACATCACATCAAGTGGTGGAAAGGAAATTCAGATACTTCTTTCTAGGACCTGTGCGCACCTTGGATTGGAATTCTTTAGGTTAGATTTCTGTCTGATTCTGCATGGTTTCAGTTTATCTTGGTTATACATAGGAACAATTGGGTAGGTTGGCCCAAACTTCATTTATTTTTGGGTGAATAATCCTGTGCTCCATTTGCAGTTATATTGCATAGGCTTACTAGTATTTTCAAAGTCAAAAACAAGTACACTTTGTAAATGTTTAAAACTTTTTAGAATTCAATAAATCATTCTGTTTGCATTTACAACAAAATTTTCATGTAGTTATTATAAATCTTTCATCTAGGTTTTACCACATAAGTTTAGGACTGGAGCATTGTTTTATTCAGAGAATAGCAGTGGATAAGAAAACAAGCCTTTGTCCTTCATCTTCTTTCTTCTTGCACCCCATTTTATGATTATTATTATTATTATTATTATCATGTCCTATGCTAAGCACATTGGACTACATGCATACTCCACAGTTCTCGATCCACAGCTACAGTGTCCACATCCTTTTGTTTAAGGCTAATGTTTTTTATGATATGCATCATGAAACTGCAGCAAGGAAAAAAAATGATGCTAAAAAAATCATACCATATTCTGATTTCTCTGTTTTCATAGACTTCTGATGCCAGTTTTACCTCTATAACAAGATATGTATATGTAAATTTTGTTTGAAACAGATAAAAAATAATGGACCTCTGATCAACATGATTTACAAAGTGCTAAAGAGCTCAGCGCAAGGGTTACTATCCAGTATAAATGTAAGAGTGCCTGTAACAGAAATGTAATCATTCCATTGCTTTTCGAGTGGCCGTCAGTGTTGAAATAGCTAAGCATTCACAGGTGTCTCATGACACATATATAACACCAGAGCTTTTTGCAAGTTGTGTGATTTGGGGAGGGTTTCTGCAATATTATTGGCTGGCCTAATAGCGCTTTGTTTCATTTTTTCATGTGTTGGGAACTAGTGATGGTGATTCCATTTCTACCTTTACAGAAATACAAAGCATGCTCTTGTGCTTTACTTTTGTTGCCTTCACAATGACATAATTTTACATGTCTCGGTATCTGATATAATTGCATTTTTTCCCTTTGATTTAATGTGTACCCCTAGGTTTGAGAAAGGTTGTGTTGCCTGCATATTTGTTGTATTTGTTGTATCAATTATATTCTGTTATGTCAATAATGTATGCTTCGACTTTTTGCTGAATTTAGAATGTGTTAAAAGTACAAAATATTTTAAGCAACAGTTTTAAAAACAGTACTTTTATCACAATGAAAAGCACTCGGTCTAGTTATTTACAAAAGGTAATAAGCCCTCCTGTATTTGATAATGTGGCTTCCGTTTTATCAGTTTACAATGATGGAAACTTGAAGATGGAGCTGGGACAGATAGTCATTAATGGTAAATAGAACTAATAATAGTATTAATACTAGTATTTTAAATAACAATTTCTGAATGTCCAAAGCATTTTAAATACATTATCTCAATAGTTCCAGATTTCTAAGGTGAGTTTAGCTTTATTATATTAGCTATATAGTTGCAATTCCTAGGTAGTAATTTCCGAAGACTCAAATTAATGAATGAGATTAATTTTGAACTGATGATTTCCCAGTTTCCCACTTGTGTATTTCTTTTCTGCTTCCTGAAGAATGAATAGCATTTAAAAATCCTTTGTTTACCACATGGTGGTTAGTTCCTTGAATGAGTTTATGTGATTCTGTATAATCTTTATTGAGCTATGGAAAAAAATGTTAGCTACAGTTTTAGAATAAAATAAAAAAACATTAAAATTATCAAAGTGAAATACTCTGCAAGGTAGTGTAATACCTATACAGTATCTGTATTCTATACATGAAAAATGCAGGTAAGTTTTGCCTGGCTGTACATGTTCAAGAACTGAGAAGCATTTCCAACAGAGGCATTTATTATAAGCTTCATGGCTTGGAAACTAATTTAAAATAAGAGTACATGATAATACGCAATAATTTTATTTTTCTGTAAGTCACAGAAATTCGCAGGAAAATTGTAATGTAAATAAGAACTTGTTGTAAATACAAGTTGTATGATATGAACATTTGCCATATTGAATTCAACCAAATTTAAAGGAATCTCTTAGACCTAGCATATGCCCATAACATATATTTGGATCAGGACTAATATATATATTTTTGCAGAAAAAAGGATAGTTTTGTTTGCTACTAACATTTTATGGCTTCCAATTTTTACTTTTAAATCTTTATATTTTAGATGACAGGACATGATACAATCAAAGAGCGACATGCAAAACCGATCAAAATTGGAGAAAGTAATATTGATGTAAGTATACATTTTCTTCTTTCTGATCCTTGCAAAAATCTCATTCTGTTTTATTGTTTTAACCTTGTGTGTGTATATATATATATTTATTTTTAGGTAAAGCTGAGTGTCTTCTGTGAGCAAGACAGGATTCTGCAAGACCTAGAAGACAAAATAAGAGCCCTTAAAGAAAATAAAGTAATCATCTTTGGATTAATTACAAATTAATTATTTTTGTAATACTCTGTTTCTGTGTCTAAAGGCCCATTTTGGTTTTTGAGTATGTAGTAAGTAGAACTAGAATTAGATCTTTGTAATTATATAGTTCCAATAAATTATTCCTATTTATTCCAAGCGAAAAGTAAGTAATTGTAGGAGATGACAGGCTGAGACCGAGGGAGAGGTCAAACGCTTCACCGGTCATGAGTCCCTGAGTGCCCACAAGAGATCTAAGTCCAGCCTACCTTGAATTCCTTTCTATTCTTAACTCCCACAAATTTCCCTTAACCCTTAATAGTTCGGATTCTTATAGAGAGTTTAAGCTTGCAATAAATCTTTATGCTCATTTGAATTGCCGGAATCTCCTGATTTTCCTGGTGCTTGACAGTAATATAGGTACATTCAACTTACGTATTTCATAACTTTTCTCCCATTTTAAAGATTACCAAATTCTTATAGAATCTATATGCAATTCTTGTTTGTTTTAAATAGTTTCCCAACTGGGAGGATTCATTTTTAAAAACCATAGGAAAATACACGAATGATGCCAGTATATCTATCCTCATTTTCACCTTCCTAGCTTGCAGAGAGCTGAATTTCAGATAAGTTGATGGTATCATCTCTGAAAGGGATTTTCAAAGCTGGGTTACAGCCATTGAAAAACTTTATTTGTGGTCTTAATTAAAGATATCTTTGGAGTCGTTAAAGCCTGCAAAACAGCCTCAGAAGACTGCTGTAGAAAGAGGAAAGATTTGTACCAGATGTTTTTGTACTTAAAATGTTCACAAATATATTAAATGGCACCCAAAACCAAACTGCAAACACCATCTCTTTTAACAAATTGATTATTATATTCTGAACCAAACACTCTTTGGGGGGTCTCCCTAAATAAAACTAATCGAAATGTGATGTATTATTTTCCAGAGATAGGAATAGTTGAGCAAATATTCCTCAACTTCAGTATCCAAATCCAAAACTGGGATTGAAGAGTCCAAGATCTTTTGACCGTGAGAGGGACGAATGGGTGGAGGGAGAGAGTGGCAAGCAGGCAGGCTGAGACAGACAGATATTTTTATATTTGGGGTAAAAAATTAATATTTTTAAAACACTAAATTAAAGGAGGGTCTTCTAAAATGGTTTCAGAGTTTATTTTTAAAAACTTTTAAAATACTTTCTTTAGGATCAGCTGGAATCTGTCTTGGAAGTGTTACATAGACAGATGGAACAATACAAAGACCAACCACAGCACACAGAAAAAATTTCATATCAGCAGAAACTTTTACAAGAAGATCTCATATGTATTCGGGCTGAAATATCCAAAGTATCTACAGTAAGTAGAAGGTGCTTTAAGAATTAATATATAGTCGTAATTTCCATATCAAGCCTACTGGAACTGCATGACAATGTAGTTTAGTGGTTGTTGAAGTAGGATTGGCAAACTATGAAAAACCATTTTCTCACTCTTCCCTTGCCAAAGACCTAGGTGAAGAGTCAGGTCTTTACTGCTCTTCTGAAAAACAATAGAGAGGGGGGACATCTGGATCTTGGGGGGAACCTCATTTCAGAGGCAGGCACTGCTACAGAGAGGATACACTTCCAAAGTATGAACAGATGACATTGTTTCATTGAAAGAATTTGGAATATGCCAACATTACAAAACTGAAATGGCTGGACAGAAAGATATGTGGGAGATAAGCATAACCAGGTCCTATGCCATGTAGGACTTTATAGGGAAGAACAAGTACCTTGAATTACAACCAGAAGCAAACTGGCCAACAATGGATTTTGTGAAGCAGAGGTGTTACACGGCCATATTGAGACATGCCCATCACTACTTATGCTGCTACATTCTGGATCAGTTGAAGCTTTTGGGTAGTCTTCAATGGCCGTCCCATTTAGAGTGTATAGTAGTATTCAAGCCCCAAAGTGACTAAGCATGAGCGACTGTTCAAAAGGCCCTCTAATCTAGGAAAAGATAAAACTGGAACAACAGACAACACTGTGCAAAGGCTTCCTGGACCCAGCTGCTCTCCAAGCAGGAGCTGCAATTCCAGGAAGACTCCTAAATTGTGCATCAACCTGGTACAGGTAAGTACAATCCCATCCAAGGTCAAAGATGGTCCATCCCCACCTCTAGGGGACCCACTCAGAACCACTCTGTCTTGCTAGGATTGAGTTGGAGATGTTTGCTCTCTTTCCAAACCTACTCAGCCTCCAGGCACTAGAACAGAACCTTGACAGCCTCACTTGGCCAGTCTGAAGTTGAAAGATATGATTGGGTACCATCAGCAAGAACTCCAGAACAGTGGATGATTTCATCCAGTGGTATCATGTAGATGTTGAAAAGAAAGCTATGCATTTATGCTATATGCCATTGTTTTTTAATATTGTCCAATTTTACATATGCATACATATATACGTGTGTGTGTGTATACGTACACACATATATAGTGTGTCTGTGTGTATATAGTGTGTTATTGAACTATTTCCTGCCCACCTCATGGTGAGAGAGAGAGAGAGAGAGAGAGAGAGAGAGAGACTTCTGACTTTAATGAGAGTCACTGTAAAGTAAGAGCTGTGTGCATATAGCCTAAAGTACTTTTAATTGTGTTTACACTTGCATAAAGTACTTGCTTAAATAAGTACATTAACCAGCACCTTCATAGCTTGTTATTGCTTATGAAAAGGCAAAATGAGTTTGTTCTCTTTGTCAATAGGAAATGGAAAATGCCTGGAATGAATATCTGAAATTGGAAAAAGATGTGAACCAGCTGAAGCAAACTCTGCAAGGACAGATGAATAAATCATGTTTTTCTCAGGTAAGGCTATTTTCAATCTTTGCATTTTGCAGTTTCCTAAATAGTTTTAGTCAGATCTCATCTCACTCGGAGATCTAATTTTGATGGGAAATTTTTTTTCCAGAGGGGAAAAAAAGCTTCACATGCATATTATATCACAATATGGTAGAACTACATGTGCATGCAAATATACCTTTATGATAAGCATCAGATTTCTCACTCTTTGGCCAGTTGCTAAATGCTATGGCAATATAACAAATAAGTCCTTTTTTTCTGGGATGACCAGACATCTTTAGTTTGCCAAAGAAATTTTCCTGGAAATATGAGTGGACTCCTTTGATCCAGCAAATAGAGAGTTTTCAGGACCTAGTTAGTTCAATGGGCATTACGTTAATTTACTGCTATCAAATGAAGTATTATCTGCTGGTGGCGTCTCAGTTCGGGAGTTTTAGTAACATTTATGTTGAATATGTTAAATTTTTGGTTTTATAATTCAGTTGCTTATTTTATGTTATGATAGATTCTTAGGGATTTTATCCTATAAACAGCCCTATTGTTCTCTCCTTTTAAGCAACCAACAAAGAATCTCAGTCCAGAGGCAAATTATACATATTATATGTAAATATATATATATATATATTTGTTAGAATGCTGAACAATATAAGAATTGCTATGTAGTGTGCTGTTTACTAGCAAAAAAGCATGTCCTCAATTTCTACTTTTTTTTTCTATCTATATAACCAATATTGATTTGATCCTCCTTACCCTCATTAGGAGAAATCTCAAATGCAAAAAGATTTGTGGAGAATTGAAGATGTTACAGCTGGCCTAAGTGCAAATAAATCCAACTATAGAGTCATCATTGAATCTATCAAGAATCCAGGTAAGAAAGCTTAATGCTGGTATTGCAAATCTAGCTACTGGAATATTATCAAATCAATATATGTGTGTTTCAGTCTTATATTTTAGGCTAATGATATCTGAATCACAAAAGAACACCTTGGCCCCCCCTTTTGCCATTCATAACATAAAAGCTAAGCTACCTTTTCCTGATGAGGTTTCTGGCATTTTATCATTAACACTCCCACATAAAAATTTACCAATGCCTTTTTTCAGAGTTGGTGTTCTAAAATGTTTGTACTTGGGTATTTCTAAAAAAAACAACAACAGTTCAATAAATCTTAAGCTGCTTTTCTAAACACCAGTTTTACTTTCATACTGTTTATTATGGAGATAAGGGTTATTTGTTTTTTCTGTGCTACATCTGAATGTAATGTGTATTTTTCCAGAAAGAAAAACAGTGCCTTCATTTTCAAAGCCTCTAGTGCCTTCATCATCATCTACTCTCATGTCAACAGACAGTAAAATTTCTACTCAGCAAAGTCCACCAACTAGTCCTATCAAGCCCTCGTTGGAAGTCAGACTTTTTCCTCAGCCTTATACACAGCCTAGAATGTTTTCTCCATCCCAACAAGTGAAAAAAGTTGAACCTCCAATCCAGTCATCAGTGAAATTAAAACCAAAGGTTGTGTCATTATTCCATAGTGTTGTAGTTTATGGGCTAAAGTGCACTGAGAATGGTAATGGATTTCCTTGTGTGTAGAATATGGGGTAACGAAGAGTGATAATCAGATAAATAATACTTTGTAGATTTGTTTACAGTGTTCTTGATGGTAATTGAAGCTTTGATTTAATCTGCTTATAAATGACTTGTGACTGAGGAATTTCCAGGAAAAAAAAAAATCTTAAAGTAATGTGGTGTTAAATTCATATACTGCATATTATTTGCTGTGATTTAAGCAGGATTTATTTTCCACATGGAGCAATGAACACATTTTTTTAATGCAATATCAGGAAGATGAAGCACCACCAAGACCTCCTCTCCCACAGTTGTATAGCACTGATGATAACCCACCAGCTGTTCCACCTCTTCCTAAAGAAGCTACAGTAATAAGGCACACATCGGTGCGTGGACTCAAACGTCAGTCTGATGAAAGAAAACGAGACCGTGAACTTGGACAGTATATAAATGGAGATTACAGGGTAAGCATTCCACCCCAGGTTGTATACTGTATTTATGTAGTTCTAACATTACTGTAATTCTAGTATTGTCTTCCAATATGCTGTAATTATAGGGAGGCAGTATATGAAAAATGTTGCCATCTATTTAATTGTATATTTATCCATGTAGGTAGAACTCCGCTCATATGTGAGCGAACCTGAATTGGTAACAATAGGCAGTGATCTGAGCCAACCTTCCATTGGTTTTCGTGGCACTGACAGTAGATATCAAACATTACCTACCAGAGGTGAGTCAAGAGACTGAAGTTTCTGTATTTTAGAAGATCATATTTATTATGGTTTTGCATTTCCAAATGATAACATCATTTGCCACATGTTTGGGTTGAAACTCCAGATACAACTTTAAAAGGGCAAGATTTGAAGAATCAATTATATGTATATAAATAAATACATGCATAAATCCTACTTCTGAAACACTAAAGTATGTAATTCAGATTACAGCATTCAGGAAGCCGAGAACTATCATAAGGATAGTGATTCCTATTAAACCCTTAATGAATACATTTCAATGAAGAATTGAATAATACATTGAGATGTGTCAATTATAGGACATAATGTATTATGGAAAGAAGGAAGGAAATGTAGTAATAGAAATGTCTACATCCCTTTTCCAACTTTTGCCTTTAAAGATTCTCCAAATTTTAACTGATTCTTTAAAAGAGTTATCACAGAACATAGATTTAACAAATATCAACTGGACTTTTTTTTCTAAATAGAGTTTTTCCACCTTTTTTTAAAAGGATTATCTGGTTCAACTTCTAGACTCCATCAGTCATCAACAGTTTCATCATACTCAACGCTTCGAAGGGATGCTTCCAAGGTAAAATATGTTTAACTAGGATGACGCTTGTTTTGAACAACACTTTAGTAATGTCATTTTGCTTTAGTATTTGATAATCCTTTGGAGTTTAAAATTATTCACTACAAGGGTCATGCAGATCATCGATGAGTACTTTAAGTTTGTTGGCCTACCACATTTATAGGTTTTTATAGGGCTGGGGATCTAGACACTGTTGCTTCCAATTTGTAATTTACCCATATTTTCCCATTGCTTTCTCCCTTTTTATTATAAAAATTAAAGAGGAAAAGACAGAATTTCTGTGTATTATCATTTGGAATTATAGTTCTAGTAGCCATCTGTCTAGAAGCACCTTAAATCTGAGTCCATTATCCTGAAGAAAATTATAGTCAATTTTTCAATTTTATATGTTTCCTCCTGGAACAGTGATGGTGAACCTTTTAGAGACTGAGTGCCCAAACGGCAACCCAAAACCCACTTATGCATGTCGGGTGCCAGGTGGGTGTGGCCTATTGGGTGGGCATGGCTGCGGTGGTAACAGCAGACTAGGTGGGACTAAAAAGTTCAATCAATCAATTCCAACTTTGCAAGATCTTTTTTTTCCCGCGAGAAGTTGAAATTGACTGATTGATTGAACCTTTTTTTTTTTTTTTGCACACAGCAGCGGAGGCCTAAAGTGAAAAGGTTTTATAAAACCCAGCTGAAGGCCTAGGACTGGAGCGAGGGCGCGCGTGCCCACAGAGAGGGCTCTGAGTGCCGCCTCTGGCACCTGTGCCATAGGTTCGCCACCACTGTCCTAGAAATTTAATCAGATATTTTTTCCAAACTATTTACTTTACAAACAAAAGATTTTCCTGGACAGTTTGCATTGAAAGAAAACAATGAAAGGATAGTTCTGCCATCTTCAGCCTCTTAAACTAACATAGTTATACAGTAGGTCAGTATTGTCCATAGTAAGTTAATAAAAGGAAGTAGTTTGGAGTTATACTAACTTTTTAAAAAAATGTCATTACAAACATGTTCTGTGTCATTTTCAAGGAGAGACCAAAGAGTGCCTTGGAACGTTTATACTCTGGAGATCCTCAAAGAGGAAAAATGAGCGCCGAAGAACAACTAGAAAGAATGAAGCGATATCAAAAGGCAATAGTTCGTGAACGCAAAAGAACTCTTGGTCAAGGAGAAAGACAATCTGTTTCATCACGACCATTCATCCAGCCTGGTTCAGCAGACATTGGCTCAGTATGTTAGACATGCCTTAACAGGACTAGATAAAACAAAACAATCTGTAGCTTCTCTAGTAAGCACTTTTATTTGAGAGTGCATGTCACCTTGTATTATTTAATTATATAATGGTGGTATTTCAATAGGTAGGGCGTGCATAACAGAAAATGGCTTTTGGCTATCAATATTGACAATTTAACATAGGAAGTAGGAAATAAATTGGCATAAGAAAAGTACAGTGAGAAATATATATATATATATATTTCAATGTAGATAATAAGTTGGTTTAATCATTTTTTTTTCTTACTAGGTTATGAAATAGAATATTTTTTTTCTGATTGCACCATAAATGAATGAGCCCAGTAGACAATATTAGCACAATTAAAAAATAAAGTATCTATGGTTATGTTAAATAAGAACTTTATAGGTTATCATTTTAGGTTTTCAGAAATTTTATATATTAATTATTAAACCCAGGAATGCATCTAATGGATTCATATAGCTGCTAATGCTCCTTGATCATTTAGGTCTAAGGTATGAACAATATTCTAGAAAAGCTCTCCATTCAATTAGGAAAAAACAATTCCAAGTTAAATATAAACTGACAATTATTCATCATTGTCAATTAAGCAAATAATCATTCCCACTGCAATCATAGATATTTTACATACCCAATAAATATATTTATAAAAAAGAATATTCCATTAATACTAACATAATTCATTAAATAGAAACAGCCATTATCCATAGATGTGATCTATTTATGCAGAAGAGACAATTCCATTTAAAATTACTAGGGCTGCTTTTTTAAATTTCCAAATAAAGGTTGTCTTGTTAGGCTTAGAAATGGCTACTGTTGATGACAAACACAGTGAATGAAACTTTTTCTGCAGGTGCCAGTTTCACTCAATTGTCAAACTTTGCATAACAAAATTTAGGATTAGGTTACTAAGATATTTTCCTAAATAATGGAATGATCTCAAATCAATTCAGTGGAATTGGTTTCCTGTACCATCCTCAAATCACAGCATGTCTTCATCTTTCACAATTTGGAGTTATAGAAAATAAAGTCAATTTAAAATGGAAATAAAGCTATCCAGTTATAACCTTGAAAATTTTACAGTAAAAATGTTTTACTTTTTAAAATAGCCCTAGGTGTTTAAAAGATAGTAGATCATGTTTTTAGGATTATGAAAATTGGAGGTAGCTACTGTATATTAGGCTGTTACTGCAAAAGCAACAAAAACTTACAAATATATTATGATAAGCTTTTGGGGGTTAAAGGAGGGTCTATTAAATGCACAATCATCTAAGAGTCAAACTAAATAATGAGAATGTATTCAATAATTAAGTATAAGAATGTATCCAGTATATCAGATTTTGATTATTTACATAAGAGATGCATGACAGAGAGAAATCAGGATCTGATCATTCTAATAGTGCCCTATCATAACACATCTAATTCTGTCCATGGGCACACATGCATGCATACACACACGTACAAAATTGAGGCTAATTTGGTGCTAATAAATAACTATTCTGAACATATCTTTTTTAAGAAATAGAATGAGTCTATGGGAGTGCAGATGACCTATCTTCTGCCCTTTTGATATAGTTATATGGATAAATGATGGCTCACATTGTACATTTCCATGATAATAGAAATATTATCCATGATAATCTCAGAATCTCTTTTGTGCCCAATCTTCAAAGAAAATCTTTCCTTTTAGTAGTAAGAAAGTCATTTTATATCCTTGGTTCTTCCTTGTAAGATACTCCCATATCCTGTTTTAAGTAAGAACAAACTCTGAATATTATATCATAAAAAACAGAATTTCCATCTCTCTCTCTTTTTATTGATACATAATCAACCTGAATCAAACCACTGCAGATGAAAATCTTTTCATTGAATGTTGTAAACCTGTTGCAAATTTAAGACCTGTGGACTTCAACCCCAGAATTAGTGGGAGATTTCTGGGAGTTGAAGTCCACAAGTCTTACAATTGCCAAGGTTGGACACCTCTGTTGTAAACATAGTTTGCCCTGCTGGTCCAATAGCAGATGTTACAGTAGGTAGAGGTCCATTTCCCAAGAGAAAATGTCTAATAGTCATTTTGACAGCCTCCACGCCTTGCCACCTTGTGTGTGTGGGGGGGGATAGGCAATATAAAAATTTAATAATAAATAAATAAAATGCCTATAAGGGTGGGCTAGAATTTGAGTCTGCTCAATTCTAATCTAGCCCCTTAACCACAATACCTTACTGGCTCCCTTTCATTCATAGCCTACTTAAAAGCCCGAAACTTTGAACAGGGGAGAAACTTACTGGTCTCATCCCTTTTTTAAAAAGTAAGCAAATAATGCTATTCTTTTCCCTCACTGTTTGTAACATAGATCACGATCTGTGAAAGTTAGTCTATAAAGTGCCACAGGACTTTTTCTTATTTAGGGTTTTCAAAAATGAGGGTTTATGCAATCACTATTTTGTCTTTTCCTTTTGGCACGCTAGAGTTATTTATGCTCATCACCTGCCTAATTCATTGCACAAGATCTCTTGCTTTTAAAGTCACTCATCCTACATATTGTTTTTTTTTAGTTTCTAATTATTTAAAACTATTTCTAACTAAACTCAGTTTCTGCCAGGCTTAATTGCATTTTAGCATCCTTTTTTTGTTAAATTTCTACTTTTGTTGGTGGTTATTTGTGTTCCCATTTTAAAATAGCTGTTTGGTTGCATTAATTTATAAGGCATTAATGAGCCATTAATGTCATAAGTAAATATGTAAACACTTAAAGGAAACTGGTGCATTCAGATATTTACCTTTGCTGTTATATTTTTTTAAGAAATAGTATTAATGCATAAAGAAAAATAAAGCCCTGCCATATCACATATTTAAGTAGCAGAATTTGAACCTGATTTTTTTTTTAAAAAAAAATATGGCTCTCAAATTTATAATTATTTCTAATGCAAACATTTCATAATATTTTAACAATTGAAACAATGTAGCATATTTTCATACCATATTGGTCTTCATTTTTGCTGTAAAAATAAAAAAATAGCACAGCCCCAGAAGAAACAAATTATTTAGCCAAAGGGCTCCAGTGCACAAAACGTAATGTTGGAAAGCACAATTTACAGCACTACAATAACTTAGCAACCAAAATGGTAAAAATGAAATATGTAATTAGATTGCACAGTTTGTAATGTTACATAAATTGTATGTGTAAATCTACTTTTAATACAGTGCACTGATATTTTTTTAAAAGATCAATTTTTAAATGTAGTATGACATTAAAATATTGAGCCGAATACTTGGATTGTTCATTTGATTTTGATGTAAAGGACTTCATATCAATAAAAATGCTTCCTAATACTGAATTTATGTATTTCTTCTAGTATAACGTGTAGAATTAATATTGTCTTATATTACATTTATGGATGCAATCAGGCCTGGCTTGAATATTGAGTAGGCATTTGGTTACAATGTGTACTTTAATTGTGAAGATGATTGAACTTTTCTCGCAGAAATCCCTCCATTTTTAAAGTCTGTAATTTTTATTTGTGCAGTAGATGTTCCTACTCCTAACAGATACAAATGTAGGTATGTTTTGAGTGAAAAATCAAGAACTTGTGCATGAATCATATATTTTTCCCAAAATATCTTAGACTGGATCTACAAAGTTATTGCTGGAGTAAATGGGGGAAGGTAACCTCCACTGTGTCTCCTGTGTTTTCTGCACTGTTCTAAAATACATCTCAGTACCCTAAAAGAGATTTATGTGAGCTATAGAAGAAAGATGGAAACAGTCAAAATAAATCCCCCCTTTTTCATCCAGTGGAGAAATCCTGAGTGGAATTCTGTCCTTGGATATTCAAGATACAAACAATGTTGAACCAGAAGCAGAGGGTGGGATATGGTCTTCTACTGTGCAAATGAACACTTTATACAGTAACACATTTTTATGTGATCACTGAAATAGTAACATTCATGCCATTTTAATGCTACACCCTTTATGACAAGTGGGACAGAATATCCAAGTAGATAGGGTATTGTGTGGTTTTACAAAAAATACAGATAGTCCTCAAGTTATGAACATTGACTTAGCGAATGTTCAACATTACAACATTCTCTGCCAAAAGTACTTACAAGCGAATTGCAAAGTTACATATGTTGCAACATCACAGCAGTTGTTTTACACTTATGAATGACTACAGAGATGCTGCAACATGGTACTTTGGTGCCACACCTGAGAGTCCCAAACTGCCTCCGTTTGCCTCCTTTGTAGCCTTGGGTGCTGGAGCCCTTGACCAGCCAGGTAGAAAAGCGCCAGTCTGGTCTCTCCCCTTCCCCACCAAGCCCCAGCTTCTCTCACAAGCGGGCACGGCCCTGCTCCACCACCTGCTGGAGTGCTGAACCCGCCTGGGTTTCACAAATTGCACCACCATAGAGCTAGAGAGCTTGGCGTGCCATCGCCCTGCTCCCCTCACTTGCCAAAAGCACTCCTTTTCCAAATTGCAAGAGGGGCTCCTAAACAATATGACTCTCCAGCTCTGTTGTGCCGTGGAGCTGGAGAGCTTGGCATGACACCGCCCTGCTCCCCTCACTTGGTAGCCCTTGCTCCTGTTTGGATGCGAGTGGGAAGAAACTACCCAGAGGAAGCTGGCTGCCCGCATCTAGCTTCTAGATTGGAAGGCTTGGCTGGCCCAGTTCCTCCCCTCCCCATGACCTTGCTGCAAGATCTCCTAAACGGAGATTTTGCAGAGGTGCAGGGCGCGGCAATGCCTTTGCAGCTTTGCATAGCGCAGGTTGGCGGAACCAGCTTTCCCCTCATTGCAAGCATGACTGTCCAGCTGTCTGGTAGTATAATTTGTGAAACCCAGGCAGGCTCAGCATTCTAGCAAGTGGCGGAGCAGGGCCGCACCTGCTTGTGAAAGAGGCTGGGGCTCAGTGAAGAAGGGGAGAGACTGGTCCGACGCTTGTCCATCTGGCTGGACAAGGGCTCCCGCACTCAAGGCT